GTACACGGTGGAGGTCTTGGTGGGGGCGGTGGAGCTGGTGGCGGTCTAGGAGGTGGCGGTGGACTAGGAGGAGGTGCTGGAGGTGGTCTAGGTGGTGGACATGGTGGAGGTCTTGGTGGGGGCAGTGGAGCTGGTGGAGGGCTAGGTGGTGGTGGTGGGCTTGGAGGTGGAGGTGGAGGTGGAGCCGGTGGAGGGCTTGGTGGTGGAGCCGGTGGAGGGCTTGGTGGTGGTGGTGGGATTGGAGGTGGAGGTGGAGCTGGTGGAGGAGCTGGTGCAGGTGGTGGTGGAGGATTCGGGGGAGGAGGTGGTGTTGGTGGAGGTGTTGGAGGAGGGTTTGGAGCTGGTGGTGGTGTTGGTGGTGGACTAGGTGGCGCTGGTGGAGGTGGTGGGTTTGGAGGAGGTGGTGGTGGTCGCTGAAAATTAACCGAATCCTTAATGTGCTTTGCAGCAGAAAAGAAAGGAAGAACAGAAAGGAAACGTTCTTGTTTATCACCACGAGCCACTACGAAAGCTAATGCAGTAGATGTTTCATGCACTTTCTAGTTTATGATGCATAAAAGGGTGTTCACAGGTCATTCTTTCTCAGCATTCTGGACTGAAAATGGTTGATCATACACTGTTCTAGTACGTCCGTCGTGAGTACTCGTGATATAGTTCTCTCTTCATGCATATCATGGTGGAATCTTAATTTGTAAACCATAACCATGTCTTTTGTATTTTGTATCTCTTAAGCTACTATATTCTAGTTTGGAGCATCAAACCTCTTGGTTTAGTCTGTGTTCATACCTTCCTCATCAATCAAATATTGCTGTTCAAAACAATCATCCAACATTAATTTATCATCTGAAAATCAAAGCAGAAATAACCAAATTAATTAAGTTAATTGTACCCAACCAAGCTGCATGATATCCACATGCGACCTGTCCGCGGAAAAAATGAGTCACCAATGAGGTGACCATTGCATTTATTCTATGCTCGGTTGATTAAGTACGTCCTGTCTCCCATATATGTTTTCAGACATTGATGTTCCAAACCTAACTTGCAAGCCACACTGAAGGCCATCGTACGTACAGTGATTGACAGAACGAATTAGTTATTCTTTAATTCGATGGACAGGAGAGAGCTGCAATGCACGTGCTCTTTTGAAAGGAAGTGGCCTTGACTTCATTTCTTTGCATATAGGCATGCATGGATCGATGACTAGGAAGAGAAAAGTTCGTATATATCCAAGATGATCATGATCGATTTATCACTCAGAATTACTCTCGAATGGTACTGACCAGCTTAATTTATGTGACCTTTTTCTTTCCTTCTTCGATAAGAACGCACAGATCCGATAAACCCTAAAAAAACTACGAATTTCACATCCATTTTAATTTATTAATATATTTTACGGATCATATATTAAATTCTTATAACTCCTAATAAGTATTTCAAGGATATTTGTCAGAATAATCAAGCAACCCTAGCGAAAATAGTATTTAATAATTGACCATTGTAGTTCTAAGAAATTGTATTTTTTATTATTCATGGGGTAAATATTTTGTATGTTTGGTAATACAATGTATAATATTTTTTCAAAGTATTTTTTTAATTATAAAAATATGAAAATAATATTTTTTAAATATTTTTTTATTTTTTATATTTATGCATCAAAATTATTAAAAAAATATTAATTTAATATTTTTTCAAGTAAAAAATAATTAAAAAAACAACAATAAGACACTTTATATGTTTGGACATATTTATAAGAGATTTTAGTACAAAACATATTTCAAAATCATTTTTCGTATTTTATATCTCAAGAAAATCTCTGTTTTGTACATCAAATCTCCGAAGTGAGGGACAATATATCAGCAAAGAAAAAGAAAAGAAAACAGAAAAATTGTGGGATTACAAATGTTATTGTCCAAGAAAAGGGGGAAAGAATTTGTGTCAAGTGATCACCTGAATAATCAACCACAACGAGCTACACATGCAGCGGCCCAAGGCATACAAGACTGCCAAAAACTGGACGCCAACCTTTCAAGGCAGCACCACCTCTTGTTATTTTGCAGCTTTTCAAGGTGCAAAAGGTCCAAATATGTTGACCATGTATTAATTCTTGGACCTATGTAAAAGGTGAAAAGCATCCCCGCACTTAATCCCAATACAATTCCAAAAAGTTTAGCCCTACCTGATACTGTCCACATTCTCAGGCTGTACAATCTGAGATCATAATTTATAGAAAAACAAGATCTCGTACAGGATTAATATATGACTTGTAAACTGTATTTTATCCTCTCACGAGCTCGACATTCCAGCGATCCTTTTTTATAGTTTGAAAATATATAAGGGTTTTTGTTCTGTGAAAAGAAAATCAACATCTAATATTATAGTTATTAAAAAATCTAACTAGTCTTTCAGAGATTCTAAAATAAGAGACTAGTTGTGTAAAGAAAAGGTTTTAGCACTCCTAATACGCCCAACCTAAGATAAGCTGCTTGGTGTTTAGTTTGTCCTATAGTTGCTATGGTGTTAGTGTTCTCGAATCTCATTAGTTTCCTAAGATAAGTCTGCTCTAATGAACGAAACTTGGGTCCAAAGTTTAAGGAAAAAAACCCTTGACTAATACAGATCATACATTTAGATATGTCGATAGAGTGGCAAAAAGAAACGTTGCAGATCTCTTGAAGCTTATGTTTGTTTTGAAATAAATTTAGAATTACTCCTAAAAAAATATTTTTTACATTAACCACCTGGAGTTTCTTTATCTGAATATTTACAGTGGACAATTATTCCCAATAATATTTTGAATATTTATCCTTTTGGGGTTTCTTTATCCAAATATTTGTAGTGAATAATAACAAATTATTCCTAATAAATGTTGGATATTTACCCCTTTGGGGTTTCTTTATCCAAATATTTGTAGTAAATAATAACAAATTATTCCTAATAATATTTTAGATATTTACCTATCTGGAATTTCTTTATCCAAACATTAATAATGAATATAGATGAATTCTCCAAAAATAAGATTTTTATATTTTTGGAATATTGGCCAACACCCTTTGGAATTTACAAACATGTTGTAAAATCCAAAAATGCAAGAAAATAATTTTTGTTGTGTTTAAGAAATTCATGCGAAAATATATTTTGAAACTTCAAATATTTTTTTTATGAAAAAAACATTAAAAAAAACATGTTAGGGTATTGACCGTATGCATGAAAACAAAACATTTTTTATTTTTATATTTTTTTGATGTCTCGACAAAAAACCAGGTATTTTCATACCAAATTTGTATCTTTTTAGTATAAAAATACAAACCAACATTGATTAAAACACAGTAATAAAATTACGAGAAATCATATATTTTTTTTGAAATATTTTTGAAGAAGTTTTTGTTCGAACGGGTCAGACCTGACCCAAAAAGAAACTGGGCTGAAATCAGCCTAACATAAAATGAGCCCCCTTTTTACAGGGCTATACTTAGCCCAGCCCGAAACAATCATGGATTGGTACTGTTCACTATATAATATCTCGGTACTATTTACTGTGCAGTACCCCAATCATTAATTAGTCGGTACTGTACACATAGTGACCGGGTAATTATTCCTTTATGGATGCTGTGCAAAATGCATGCAAAGAGCCCACATTACTGTTCAAATGAATTAAGTTTCACTTGAACAGGTAAACCATGCAAAAAACACACATTACTGTTCAAGTAAATTAAATTTCACTTAAACAGTGTAGACTCAAAGTATAAAACATGTTCACAGTGCGGGAGGTGAAGAGAATAAACCTGGGAACAAAAGGAAAACCGCGAGGTTTGAGGGCCTGTTGGCTAGTTGATCAGTGCTGCCATTTACTTCAGCTCCCTCCATTTATCCTCTGTTGGCATTCTTCTTCTAAGTTTCCTCCTCTACAATCTTTGTTTCTCTTTCTTTCTTCTAGTTTTCTGCACTTCTTTTTCCTTGTTCTGTAGATTTTATATGCAAGATGATGAGTTGGTGCGGTTGGTGGTGTTGTAGCAGCTGTTAGGATGCTGGCATGCAAACCCGACAAGACAAAAGGTAAGGGATAAGTTAAAATGAGAAACGACACACAAGAATTTACGTGGTTCACCCAATTTGGCTACGTCCACGGGCAAGTATAGAAGGATTTTACTAAGTAATGTGGGAATACAACTTCTCTCTAATAATAGGAGAACAACAAAAACTCTCTATTATTAGGAGAAAACACCTCACTTACTATCTCACAAATACCTCACAATTTTGTGGGATTATTCTCTCCTCACCCTCTCTTCTTTCTCTCTTGTGGTGTGTCTATAATGCTTGGATGCATTGCCTATTTATAGGCAAACATCCATGCAAAAGACAAGGGCAAGGTAGGTGGCACCAAATTT